CCTGGAGTCCACCTTTGTTCTAGTGAGAGCCTCGCGAGGATTGAGGTCAGCTTGCCGCCAGGTTGTTCCAGTCTCTCCCCCGATCAGCTCAATGGCGCCCGGATGTCTCTGGGGCTGGCGGATGTTAATGACGCATTCCATCGATCTCGTACTCCCAGTGGTCTCGCCAGTTATTTTGGATTGGGGTCAGCCACATCGGGGGAGCTGAGCGTCGTCGGACAGGATCCTGGTGGGGTCCTCTTGGGCATGGTTGACCAGGTCGATATTTGCTGGGCCTCTCTGCCAATGGGCCTCTCTTGGTCTCTGTATTTCTGCCAGCAGGCGGGGGAGCAACGCATGAAGGACGTCCCGGGTCTCGCAGCCTCGACCCTCCTCCAGGACCGGGGTGCGCCAGGGATCTTTCGGTTCTCGGAGCGCCTTGACACATCTTCGGGGATCTCGGTCTTGGAGGGCTCTGGGATTTGTCACTACATCTACGTGGACAACTTGGGGGTGATCAGTTGTGATCCAGCCAGCACGTCGTCGACGTTGTCGGATGCCTCGGATCGGTTCGAGAAGGTGGGGCTGACGACCCACGAGCACGAGGTGAGCTCGGACCAGTCGAAGGCTCTGGGGACCCACTTGGACCTCGAGGGGCTCAGCGCGCCCCTCTCGCCTGCCCGTCTCTGGAAGGTTCGACAGGGAGTGCTGCACGCCTTTAGGTGTCGGAAGCTCCCAGGTCGAGCATGGGAGGCGCTGCTTGGTCACCTCACGTTCTGCGCTTTGATCAACAGGAGCATGATGTGCGTGTTTAGGAGCATCTACGCGTTCATTAACAAACATTATTATGTACCTGCGCCTTTGTGGGACACCGCCCGACAGGAGATGACGGCCGCTGCGTCCCTGCTGTTCGTGATGGACGCCTCCTGGACCCTTCCCTGGGCCTCCAGTGTGGTTGCGACCGATGCGTCGGAGGAGGGGTTTGGGGCAACCGTTTCCTATCGGGCCACTGACAAGGTGGCGCAGGTGGGAAGGATCATGGAGAGGGACGCTTCAAACGACTTCCTGGGACGTCGGCTCGCGACAGATTTTTTGGAAGCTTGGAGGATCTTGGGTCGGAGGGGGAGGAGCACGATGAGAACCAGCCCTACGCGATTGACTCCGGCTTCCCCGAGGTTCCCCACAAGCAGCTCTCTGAGGCCAACTGGGTCACTCTCCTTGCAGGTCCTTGGAAGTACTTGGACGAGGGCATCTATACCCTCGAGTCGCGCGCTCTCTTGTCAGGTTTCCAGGCGGTGGTGAGCACCCACCACGTTCGAGGAGCAAGGCTACTATTATCGGTCGATAACATGGGAGTTTGTCTGTCTTTCGCTCGAGGTCGTTTCCGTTCTCTTATGTGTATGCGGAGGACGGGGGCTTGGTGTCTGAGTCTGGGCCTTCGGGTACATTTCCGTTGGATACCCTCCGAGTGGAATTCGGCAGACAAGCCTTCACGAGCATTCTGAGTAGAACACGGTGGCTCTTCTGACTCTCCCGGTGCTGGTTATCGTGCCCCCATCGATCCAGAGCCAGACAAATGCAGCGTGACTGATGCTTCTGGGGGCGGTCCCCATGGCCAAGCTCCGCCCGAGGGGCGAGCTGGCCAGCCAGCCATCGGGGTCGGCCTCGACTCCAGTCCGTCCGACTTCCTCGAGGACGCTGGCCCCTACGGCAACCCCGCCAACAGTGGGCAGCACCCGGCAGTCCCGGCAGCTGGGACTGCTGCCGCTGGAGTCCAACGCGGTGAAGGCCTTCACGGAGATTCAGTACCACTCCTCGGTGAACCTCTGGACAGCCAACGCCCGCGACCTCGGCGAGCCGCTATGCGAGGCTGCCGAGGTGGACGCGTCGGTGGCGCGGCAGCTGCAAGGCTTCTTCGATCAGGGCGAGAACGTCAGCAAAGGGAAGAAGCTCGTGGCAGGCCTGGAGCACTTCCTGCCAGAGTTTGGCAGGCGCGGCGCGCTGCACCTCTCCCGGAGCTACCGCGCCCTCCGAGGCTGGCGGCGCCGCTGCCCGCCCCAATCGCGCCGCCCCCTGGCCTTCTGCCTCTGGGCTGCGATCATCTGGGAGTTCTGCAGGAACAGCTGCTGGAACATGGCGATCTACACCCTGTTCATGCTGGTGACGTACATGCGGCCCTCGGAGCCGCCCAAGCTGTTACAGGAGGACTTGCTGGCTCCCGCCCACGGCCTCTCTGCCTCATGGATCTGCTTCGCTTTTCGCCAGGAGAGGGACCAGCCGTCGAAGACGTACGCCACGGACGAGAGCATCAAGCTCAGTTGCCAGTGGGTGCCGTATCTCACGACTGTGGTGGCGGCCCTCAAGCAGGGCCATCCGGAGAAAAAGGTGTTCAGTTTCCTTTACAGCTCCTACACGCGCCAGTTCAGGCACATATGCAAACGACTCGGGCTGACCGCAGTGCCATATCAGGCAAGGCACTCAAACGCCTCCGTCGACGCCGCCATGAAGTACAGAACACGGGCCGAGATAAAAGCCCGAGGGCGGCGGAAGGCGGACGAGTCAGTTCTCAGGTACGACAGCAAGGCTAAGATAGTAGAAAGCGTCGACAAGCTGCCAGACTCGTTGCGGTCTCACGTCAGGGCGTGCGAGCTCCGACTCGGGGACCTTTTGTGCGGCCAGATCGACCCCTCGGCCATCGTGCTGCCCGCCATCCCGAGCTCGGCCCAAAAGAAGCGACGCCGTACCTAGCCGACCTTTTTGGAGGCACAGGTGGGGTTGGGCGAGCTGCTGGCAGATACGGCATTAGAGCCCGATTGTGGGATGTGTCCGTTTCAAAGTCATTGGACCTCACTGATTTGAAGAATATCGACTTGCTGCGCTCTGAGGCTAAGGCAGGACAGATACTAGCTGTCATGATCGCTATAGAGTGTCGGTCTTGGGGCATAGCTCGCCACAGGACCAATGTAATTCGGTCGCAGCAAGAGCCCTGGGGTGTTGCCAGTCCTGCGAAGCCCTTCTCGGACAACGATGTCAAATCTTTGCAGTCTGGTAACCTCCAGGCCCGTCGCGTATTCAGACTCCTTCGGACCGTACATGCCTTGGGAATTCCCTGGGCCATCGAGAATCCAAATACTAGTCTCCCGTGGTACACCCCAGAGCTCAAGTACTTCGAAAAGGACCCGAGAGTGCATGTAAAGTTTGTGGACCAGTGCGCTTTCGGGACCGCTTGGCGGAAACGCACTCGCTTGATGTTCGGGAATTGCGATGCTCACGCCGCTTCCCTGCGCGATCAGTATGTCTGTGGTGGCCGGGGTGTATGTCAGTACTCCAAGAAACGCCATGTCGAACTCGAAGGAAAGAAAAAGATTTTCAAGGCCCAGGTTTACCCGCCCAGGTTCGCCCACCTCCTGGCCAAAATCCTTTGCAGTGGTTATGTAAACAGCCGCGCTGTCTACCCATCAACTTCTAAGCTCACATCCACTTGGGACGATTCGGGGGATGAGGCACTCAACAGCTCCAGAATATATATTATACCGCCTTGCCCTGCCGAGAGAGAGCCAGCGCGTGACGACGGTGGCCAAGTTGATGAGACATATCGCTAGCAAAAAGGAAGTGCGGGACCCTCATGTTAGTGCGAAGGTTGCCTGCAGACGGGCACGGGATTGAGGGGCCCAACGAGAGCGACTTCTCTATCCTTGAATATCTCATTATATTATTGCTCAAGTCTCCCGCCCCCCTCTCCCTCTCGCTTGTCCTGTCGCTCTCGTTTTCACTCCGCGCTTCAAAAGGGGATGAGGCACTCAACAGCTCCAGAATATAGATTCTACCGCCTTGCCCTGCCGAGAGAGAACCAGCGCGTGACGACGGTGGCCAAGTTGATGAGACATATCGCTGACAAAAAGGAAGTGCAGGACCCTCATCCCCTTTCCTTCCCCCCCCTCCCTCCTCCTTCCCTTCCCTCCCCCCTTCCTCTTTCTCCTCCTCCTCCCCCTCCTCCTTCTACCCCACCCCCTCCTGAAAGTGGGCGCGCCAAAGATGAGAAGGAGGGTAGGAAGGGGAGACGAAGCCGAGGATGAGGAGGCAGAGGAGGAGGAGAGGCGACGGGGAAGAGGAGGAGGAAAAAAAAGACGAGGAAAAAAGGAGGAGATGGATCTCCTTCTCGCCTCCGTCCTCCTCCTTTCTCCTTCCTGCAGGATCCCCCCCTGGGCCCTCGGCAGCACGGCGAGGCCGCGCTGAGTTTGGATCCGCGCGCGGCGTCGTTCCAGAGCCAGTCGACCATCGTCCCATTCTTCGCCTCGGTGGCATTTGCCTCGAGCGAGGTAGCGATTGGTTAAGCTCGATTCGGGTCCCCCTCTCTCTCTCTCTCTCGTTCTCTTTGTCAACGATGAGTATGTGTATATATATATATATATATATATATATGTATATATACGTGTTGCTTTTATTGCTTCCGACCTCTGCTTTATGGGGCTTGCCGATGTGAGGTGCCGACTGATGATCGCAGATATGTTGGATGAGAAACCTGCATAATCGTGATGAATGGATTGCCGCTGTTGGGCAGTTGCCAACCCCAATGTCACGTGCACTTCAGTCGAATATGCTGTCAGAGAAGGAAGAGGAGAAGGGGGAGACATAGGGAGACGGAAGGAGGAGGAGGAGGAGGAGGAGGAGGAGGAGGAGGAGGGGAGGAGGAGGAGGAGGAGGAGGAGGAGGAGGAGGAGGAGGAGGAGGAGAAGAAAGTGACGAGGAGGAGAAGGATGGGGGAGGAGGCCTGTGAGTCGCGTGGGAACTAGCATGGCTTGTCACAAGTCCAGCCGAGCTCGATCACACACTTCGCAGCATGCCCTGCTCAGCATTTTTCATTTTTTTCGGTGGCCCTCGCCGCCGTCGTCGTGATCGTGGTGGTGGTCGTCGTCGTCGTCGTCGTCGTCGTCGTCGTCGTCGTCGTCAGCGTGGTCGTCATCGTAGTCGTCGTCATCGTCGTCATCGCTGCCGCGCGCTACCCTCCAGCCAGACGCGAGGCGGTGCAGGAAGCAGCCCAGCAGACGCTAGCTGGTCGCTCGACGCCGTCCGCGCCGGCAAGGCCATGGCGGTTAACGACCTTATGCCGCAGATGAGCCGATATTGCGGTGGCGGGTCTCATCCTCCTCCTCCTCCTCCTCCTCCTTCTCCTCCTCCTCCTCCTCGTTCTTTTCCCCTCTCGAGTAAAGGCGCTGGTGTTCCACCTGCATCGCCTTTTCCATCGCGCCTCTCGTTCGATCGACAAGGCCGCTCGGCATGCCGTTGACCTCCCTTCTGGAGGAATTGTTGTCGGACACCGTCGTAGGGTGGCTAGGTCAGGATTTGGGACGTTCTTTTGGACGCTCCGCCCCTCGAGTAGGGGTGGACGGTGAGAGTGCAAGTGGAACTTGCGAAAGGGAGGAGACAGGTAAGGAGTAAGGTACGGCGGGGGGTTCGTTAAGGAATGTGCACAGAAGGCTTCGGCCCTGGAGGATCCCTTATCTGATGAGGGCGGCGGTGATATCCATGGCCAAGCCTCGATTGGCGTTCCACTGGCTTTCGGACCCCAGATTCCGTATCCAGGGGTCCCTTATCCAATGCCCTCACCGTAAGACGAGGAGGAAGAAGAGGCGGCATGAGGGGATGAGACGGAATGGCCGCTGCTATCAGAGCGCGCGAGCCCCACCTTGGACAAGGTCAAAACGTTAGTCGGCGTTGAGAGGCACTCAGCTGGCTGTGCCAGAAGGGCTGCGCCGAATCCACGCCCGAGGCGCCAGGCTGAATCAGGCTGTCGCCGAAGAGATCGGAGAGGGGAAGGCAGAGAAGCAGAAGGGCCGCTTGGACCGCGTGCGTGGGGCAGACGCGGGGCTCGGCGCACACGGTGAGGTTGGCGGTTGTTGTGTCCAGCAGGTGCTCGCCGTCGACTTGGGCGCACGGTTGAAATGTCAGGTCTCCGGCGTCATCCGCAATGGTGGCAGTGGACTTATGTTGTGTCACAGTCGTTTTCTATCCCTCGGCCTCTTCCCTCTCCACATGATCCTCCCACCCTCTTTCTACCACTCTCCCTGTACGTACGTCGCTCCCCTTCCGTATTCCTCTTTCTCTTGTTATTTCTCTCTTTCTCTCTCTCTGATTCTCTCTCTCTCTCTTTCTATCTCTCTCCCTCTCTCTCTCTCTCTCTCTCTCGCTCTCTCTTTATTTCGCTCTCTCTCTCTCTCTCTCTCAATAAATGTAGATTAGTATTTATATCATGTGTGAACGTACATGTGTACATACATTTATATGTAACTACAAATGGAAACATATATATGCAGGTATACATAGGCCCTTGTCTCTCACTCTCTCCCTCTATCCTTGTTCTCGATGTGTCACTCGCAACAAGACAGCGCCTTGCGTGTTGTCATAAGCGTAGGGGGCATCCCCCCCACGGGCGGCAACCTCGCCACGTCGGCGCACCGCGCGGGGGGTCAGAACGCCTTCGGCGCGCGGGTTTTGCCCGCAACGGGGATTGATGTGGGGCTGTTGGCAGGGGCGGCGCCCCCCCGGCGCATGGCAAGAGACTCGGACTGTGCGCCAATGCCGCTGCAGAGTGCCAGCGAGTCGTTCGTCTCGCCCGTTGGCGACCAATCGTGTCGATGGGTGTGCGGGGGCGCCTCTTTGATTACGTATACCCCAGCGTTGGGGCGCTATCTTTGCACAGGATGGACATGCGTTGTGGTGCGCATTGCTTGTGCATGCTCAGATACCGATCCACTTGTTGTCGGCGTATGATCGAATACTGGTTCGGGTATACATCGGACCTCACAGCGCCCACCAGCGTAAGATCGCAGACTTGCTTCTTCAGCAGAAGTAGCACCAGCGCCTCAGCCTTAGCATCCACAATGTGTGTCAGACTGTCGGACCCCTGGCCCCTCCCCAGCATACTTGCGCACATCCTGGTGCGATGCGTAGTCCTGCCGCTCCAACGGGCGTCTAAGATGGTCCACGAGGGCCCCCAGAAAGCCCCCGATGATTCCAGGACGCTCTGAAGATGGCCTTCGAGTCCTCCATGGGATGACGGAAAGCGCGCGTTAGCGTGCGGTCCGTTAGTCGGAAGAAATTGGACTTGGGGGAGTTCGAGGGGGGTGGCATCGCGGGGCCCGAGATCTAATTGCCCTCCCGCTTCGTTTTTTATCGAGTAGGACGGCCTTCGGGGCTTCAAAACAGCGTTTCGCTCGAGGCATCATCGGAGAACGCTTCTTGGGCGCTTCTTGGGCAGTCTTAGGCGCCTAAGACAGCCCAAGAAGCCGCCAAGACGGCGCCCAAGACGGCCCAAGACGGCCCAAGAAGCGCCCAAGACGGCCCAAGAGCGCTCCAAGAGAGCCCAAGACCGCCCAAGGCGGCCCCAAGACGTCCCAAGAGGCCTCCACGACGCCCCAGGAGGCGCCCACGAGGCGTCCCAAGAGGGCCCCACGAGGCCAAAATCATTGATTTTCTGAAGGAAAACGTGCATTTTTAGCATATACGGCGTTTCGCTTTTCATGGCGTTGAAGACGGTCCAAGAGGCCCCCAAGACCGCCCCAAGACGGCCCAAGATGTTCCCAAGAGGCCCCCAAAATAGCCCAAGAGGGCGCCAAGACGGGCCAAGAGGCGCCCAAGATTGTCCAAGAGGCCCCCAAGAGCGCCCCAAAAAGGCCCAAGAGGCCCGCAAGAGGGCCCAAAAACGGCCCAAGAGGGCGCCAAGACGGCCCAAGAGGCGCCAAGACGGCCCAAGACGGCCCCAGGACGGCCCCAAGAAGGCCCCAAGAGGCCCCCAAGAGAGCCCAGAGACGGCCAAAGGCAGTTTAGTCCCTTCACCCCCGCAGCCCAGAAGCTCACAGGAGGCCCCAAGAGGCCCCCGAATAGCCCCAAAAGGCTCCCAAGAGGCACCCAAGAGGCTCCCCAAGAGCCCCCCAAGAGGCCCAAAATATTCCCAAAGGCTCTTAGCACCGCGGCTCCCAAGAGCGAGCGGTGACGTATTCGAGCTGGTAAGACCAAAGTTCCCAACCGAGAGTTGCGACGTAATAAGTTCTTGACGCCAGGGCACAGGGACGGGCGGCAACGCGTGGACAACCAGGGGTCCACGCAAGGAAAACGCGGGGTTCTGGAAAGCTGGCAGCCCAAACGCGGAAAACGCAACGCGACCCGACCGCCCCCTCCAAAACAAGAAACGCGCTCAATGAAAGCTCCGCGAGTCTCCGAGGCTGAGATAGGACAAGAGCGAGGGGAAGGGAGTCAATAAGAGAGGTAAGAGCGGACGAGCCAGCGATCTCGTGCGCTCTGAAAGTAAGTGCGCGTTCCGTCCCCGTGCCAAGCAGGTCTAATGGCCGTCCACGACGTCCCAATATGCTCACCATCCGCTCTCAAGAGAGACTGCAGGACGCCTAATAAGACGCCCCAGAAGGGGCAGAAAGTGTGAATCGCGTTGCGTCGTTTATGATTTGTCGTTTCTGGCGCTTCCCTGCTCAAAATCACATCCAGAAGAGCTTCGGCGGGCTCCAAGAGGGCCCAAGGGGAGCCTAGGAGCTCCCCAACACAGCCCCAGAGCGCCACAAGCGCCCCCCAAGAGAGCCCAACATCGCCTTCGGAGGGGTCCCCAACTGAGCCCCAAAACGGGACCAAGGTTGCCCAAGAAAGGCGACGATGACCCAAGCGGTCCACAAGAGACCCCCGAGAGTTTCTCAAGAGGTTTCCAAGACGGCCCGAGAAGATTCTAACAGAGCTGACAACGAGCCCAAGAGGATCCCAACATGGGTCCCCAAAAGAGCATACAGGCCCAGGCGGCAGAAAGCAGTTGCACGTGGCCCCAAGGAGGGCCAAGATGGCCCCGAGATGGCCCAAAAAGAGCCATAGGAGGAGCCTGGGAATTCGGGCACATGCGTAAGTGGAAGGAGGAGCAGCAGCAGAAGGAGCAGGAGGAGGAGGAGGAGGACGAGGACGACGACGAGTGGAGGAGGAGGAGGAGGAGGAGGAGGAGGAGGAGGAGGACGACGAGGAGCAGCAGGAGGAAGAGGGAGACGACGACGACGACGACGACGACGACGACGACGACGACGACGACGACGACGACGACGACCTCGTGCGGCCCTGGATGTATACGCCCAGGGCGGGAAGGGGGCCCAGTCGGGGATTTTCGAGGGGTGCTGCCCTTCGCCCTCGTCCGTTCGGGCACCGTTATAGCAACGATTAAGCTTGGCCCCGAGGCCCACCAGCTTTTTCTCGGGTCCCTGGCCCTGGCCCTGGCCTGTTTGGAGCAGCGTTAACTCGGGCATGTCCCTCCCCAGGAGGAGTACCCCAAAATAGTCAAAACAACAAATAAAATCGTATGGGGACGATATGTTGGAGGCGTTAGGCAATTTAAATTCGTTTGCGCACTTCTTATTGTTCCTCCAAAATCCGCCTGCAGGGGGACACGCCCGACCTGGGAGTAGCGCCGTAGTAAGATGAGAAGCCCTGTCAAACAAACCACCTTTTAGGACACAGGGGACATACGGGAGGATGACGACGGCCCCGACGACGGCGACGAGCGCCGAATCTCAGCGACACCGACAATGGGGCAAGCCAGCAATTTCACGCCTTCACAGCGCCACGGACCGCGCAAGATCCGAAGCACACGCGAAACGCGCGCACGATTCTAGTCGTCAAAACATGCTAGTAGCTGTTTTGGCGCCAGCTTGCTGATCGGGGCAACACAATGAGGTGCGAGAATGAGAAGTGCATCTGGGAGTCAGGGGAGGTAGATGGGGAAAGTGTTCTGCGGAGTATTGGGAGGCGCAGTCTTTCCTCGCTTATGCATTGTCTCGCCTCTCTGGGATGGCATCGTTAGTGCAGTGCCGCCATGCTCCCCCCACTCAATCGGTCACCCGATATCGCTTTGATGTCTTATGTTCTTCCAGCTTCACGATGGCGTCGTTCAACCGTTTCTCTTAACTTGCGAACGATATCTTGCAAGCTCGCCGTAAAGGTCGTATGTTAAGTATTTTTCTGAGTGTGTAGAAATGTCATGGTTCTCAGCGTCATGTTGGCATAGTTTG